GTGATTCATAACCTTTCTTTAACCAAAAACTAATACTAAAATTAAACACTTATGTGTCATTTACCTTTTGGTTTAATTTTGTTCTCATTCTCTGTTTTTTTTTTGGGCGGGGGGGTTACCTCTGTGTGTGGGTGTGTGTCTAATGCAAACCTGAAAGTGGAGAGAGATGTGGTATTTTACTTCTCTGTAAAAAACCTGAAATATCTATAGAATACTCTAAAGATTTGTTTTTTGCTAATATTACGAAAGTACCCCAGGTTACTTACTATAATATATTTTTTTCAATTTTGTAACTCTACAATCAATCGTATTGAAATTATTACTGTAGATATCTTATGGAATCCTTTTTGGGTAGAGATTTATTACAAGAAATTTTTTAAAATATTAAAGGTTAGTGCACTGACAAACAAGAACTCAAATGTCTTGACATTCATTTGCTCTGCCCAAGATTTGTCATCTTCTCATGACCATGAAACATTAATTTTTGCGGTGATTAGGTACTCAATAAGAAGTGACTTAATGTGAGCTGGTGTACCACCTCAGTTAACAGATTTTGAAGCACTAGTGCATTTGGGCATTGAAATATTTCTTAAATGGTACGTTTATAGTTAACTTTTTCTTTTTCTTTTTCTTTTTTTTTTCCAGATGTACTGAATGTAATCATAAATTCTTTTAACTAATTCTGTGTTATCTAGTGTTAGATTTTTAAATTAACCCTTGCCCTTTGGATTTCGGTAGAGATGAGATTTAATTCAAAACAATTGATTACCTGTTCTAAATGATGAATATAATTTTTACGCCCCAGCTTTACCAATGCTGTTGCTTTTGTTGAACTTCCGACTAGTCTTAGGAATACCAGAAGAAAATGATTGCATAAAAATGTAAAAGAACATGCAAATGCAAAATAATTGTTAATCAATAAACTGGAGATTAAAAATAAAAATAATATCTGCCTTAAATTTGCTCTATCCCAACTGTACAATTTTCTGTTCATTGTATAGTGAAGACATCAAATTATTGTGCATATTTTACTGTTAAAATGATGATATAAACAAAACTTAAACATGTTGAAGAATGTACATGTGAGGTTGAAAGATTTGGGCTCAATGCATGTATTAACAGAGATAAACAGATGCACAATTTTTCATTTTTGAAAAACCAATTCTGTGTCATTTTTAACTATTTTCTCTTCCACTCACACAGAGTAGAATAGAGCTACTTTAACTTTCAACTTTGTCTTTTATTTATTTATTTATTTATTTATTTATTTATTGTATCAGTTCTAATGTATTAGTCACCTATTCTCTGTTACTTTTTCATCCTATTCCAGTTTTTCCTCCAGGGGGCAAAAGACCAAAAGAAAACAACTGTAAATAGGATCACAACTTGTTGTGGGAATGAATCTGGACAGATAAACTCTGTTATGCTGTCAGAGATGTTTTGCGTTCTTTTTCTGCTTTACAAATGGGTAGGTGACATAGAATTTCAAATATGTACTACATACTTGCTGGAGGGCAAGAGATAAACTCTTTAGTCATTTAAATTCAAGGACTGCTCTTAAGGCCCAAATTCCCTATTATTCTACAGAACATTTTTGCACCATCAAAAGGCTGTTTGGATGGACTGAAATGGTGTCATCACTAATAGCTGTCATTTTATGACATGAGTGATGCATAATTATACCAATATCCTCATAGCAACAATGGAATATTACCTTTAATGTGTCAGTCTCAGATTAATAAATAGTGGGTTTTATTTCCACAGTGCATATAGTAGATTTATTTTGGGCACTGCGGAGAAGAGCATCTTTTGGGCACATACCCTCACTTTACAAGACATCGCTTGTGATTGGAGCTATAGCAAAAAAAATGAAACAGAATTTGTACATGTTTTTGTTTTCCTTTCTATTGGGAATTCAATATTGGAAATTATGAAAGAATTATAATAACTTAAGAAAGATTTGTAGTTTATTTAAATAATGACTAGGATCTTTCCATACCTATTTTTGCCATAACCGCTGTTGTATCTTTCCGCACATGTGATGCTGAGTTTTACAGTCTGTATGCTTTCAGAAACACTTTGAGGGGGGTGTCGTGGTATAAAATAGAAGCAAAACAAAAATAGGACTTGTAAGAATAAGCTAATCTCAAAAGAAACTCCTAAGTTTTTGCTTTTGGTGTTTTAATCAGCTCTTACTTAATATTTTAGTACAACCAGGCCCTGACCTGTAGCATTATCTGATACTGTAATGTAGACCAATCTGTTTTCACATCTATAAGCTACCAAGTACTCCAGAGCTGAGCATCCTTATGGATATGTCTTTTCTTTCTCTCTTGCCTTCTGCTCTTTAAGATCTTTTATTATTATTATTATTATTATCATCATTTATTTCTCTATGTGCCATGGGATTCCTTTAGTTTGTACTACAGTTCTCACTCCACAGAATCACGGAATGATTAAGGTTAGAAGAGACTTCTAGAGATCATCTATTTCAAGCCCCCTGCTCCAGCAGGGACACCTAGAGCACGTGGCACAGGGTGGCATTCAGGTGGATTTAGAAGATCTCCAGAGAAGGAGACTCCACAGCCTCTCTGGGCAGCCTGTTCCAGGGCTTCGTCACCCTCACGGTGAAGAAGTTCTTCCTCACATGGAGGAGGTGGAACTTCCTATGTTTCAACATTACCCCTTATCGTATCACTGGCCACCGAGGAGAAGAGCTGGCCCCATCCTCTTTACATTCACCCGTCAGGTACTTGAACATGTTGATCACATCTCCTCTCAGCCTTCTCTTCTCCAGACTAAACAGGTCCAGCTTGCCTAGTCTTTCCTCATATGCTAGATACTCCTGTCCCTTAATCATTTTCGTAAACTTTTGTAGCTATCTCTGATAGTTTGCAAACGCTTTACCTCTTGGATTCCAGGAGGGATTCACTGATATATTCAGCCATATGCAGGCAAGACCTAATGTTGACACAAATCCAGGCAAAACTTAGAGAGAAATGCTTGAATTTCCTAGTTCCCTGAACATATGTCACTTCTTTATGTCTTTAGATTCACTGTTTCATTTTGAAAAGATTTTTGTGCCTCTTTGTGATGCCTCATGGTGATAATGTGAGTTCCTTCCCTTTCTCGCTGTGATTCTTGCATTGCCTTATCAAGACTTTTACTTTGGAGGTTTCGAAAGTAGGTGTATGCTGTACCCTGGAGGAGAAAATTAGGATACGCCTGTTATTCCAACTGAGCCTTTCTATCTCATGGATTGATTACTTGGGAAATATGCTTGTCTTCTAAGGGTGTATTTTTTTTATTTGTCCTTTGTTGGAAATAAATGCTGAAGTAAAGACTGAAAGAAAAAGAAAAAAGAAGAAAAGAAAAAAAATACAGTAAAATTTTTGAAAGGGATTTTGGAAGCTCTCTTCCCTCATCGTGGTTTCCTGTGTGCTTGCTGCTTTTAGGAGTATGAAGCTATTGACCTATATAAAGTGAACTAAATGTGAATTTTGCACACTTAAAATACAAAACTCTTGATTATAGCTTAATCAATGGAAACAAAATAGTCCTTTCATTTTATGGTACTTAGCCTTTCTCATTTACTGTTTACCAGAGGGCTAACAAGTGAGTTATATGTATGACCAAATGGTTCAAAAGTTGCTGTCCTCATTAATCACTTTCTCCTTCTTGCAGTCATTATCTTTTGCAACTCTAAAATAGATTTACTCTGACATAAACAGTATGATGATCAAGTAATGGTAATGGGAAGCAAAAATGAAAGTCTCAAAAAAACGTGGCGGAAACTTGATGCAGCAGCCCCAGTAGAAGTATCTAGTTTCATATGACATGTGCTAGGATGCCCCATCCAGCCTCCACCTGCCCACAAGAATGTCAGAGGTCTTCTGTAGTTACCCCAGCATGAGTTCTTCAATTTGTACAGCTAGACTTTTTTTTTTTTTTTTTTTTTTTAATGTGAATTTTGCAAGGAAATAAGGAAAAGAGAAAGATCAGTTTTCAAACCTGGAATTAGTTCCTGTGCTTTGTTTTCTATAGTTACTCTTAGATTAAGACTGACTTAATTTTATTACCACTAAATGAAATACCATTTTCAGGATGGACTTTTAACGACTGTACTGCACATTCTGCCTAGCTAGTAAAGGCACCATCAGTTAAATGTCCTTCCTAAAAACAAGAAAAAAAAAAGAAAGACAAAAAAAAAATAAGGAAACTAAAAAAGATCAGAAACAAAACTATGAAGGGTAGAGGGGAACTTAGAATAAAATGCATGAGTTTATAAATACTTGTAACTTTGGAAACCAAGCTGCTTTTCATGCAAGGGATGCTATATCAGTATTACTTCAAAGGATAACAAAACTAGAGGAAAATATTCCCAATAGGATAAAATGCAGTCTGATATGAAGTGAAGGGATAGTTGCTTCTCTATACCTAAATTATTTATATAGAAAATAGTCGGAAAGGACTGTATCAAACTTACCAGTGTACGTGTATAACACTACCAATACTGAGATGCATATTTGAGTCTAGATTCTGTAACAGGTCAAAGCAAAGAGCTACCCTGCAGTAAATTTGGATTCAGAAACTGTCATGTATAAGTTGAAGTTAAATAATTCAGTCTCCTCCTGCACTGGAAGGCAAAACATATTATTGAAGGATTACAGTTCGCATACAATGATATTGCCAAGTAAACCCTAGGGGGGAAGAAACAGAATTTTGTTCCAGAATATATTGCAAGTTGCATTTATTTTGTATTCAGGTGTTGAACTAGCAAGCTAGCTGTCCCATTATTATTGTTGTTTTTGTTGTTGTTGTTATTATTATTATTATTATGCTGGCAGAAAGGAAAAAGGAACAACGGTCAAAAAAATTGAATACTTCAGTTCTGAGCAGGGAATAAAAAATGATTGTGGATGGCACTTTTATTTTCCTTGCCTTCACCGTGGAAAGCTTTTCTCAATGTTCTCATTCTGGTTGTTGTGCAGGTTGTTGACCAGATCGACACACTGACATCCGACCTGCAGCTGGAGGATGAGATGACGGACAGCTCCAAGACAGACACGCTCAACAGCAGCTCCAGCAGCACCACAGCTTCCAGCTTGGAGAAGGTCAAGCTGCGGGGCAGCACGCCGCTCATCAAGCCTCCCGCACACCCCTCCGCCATCCTCACTGTGCTGAGGAAGCCCAACCCACCCCCTCCGCCACCACGGCTGACACCTGTCAAGTGCGATGAGCTCCCAAGACCACTTCCTTCTGCCAACCCCATGAAGACAAATGGGACACTGCTGCGAAATGGGGGATTGCCAGGAGGGCCAAACCGTGTCCCGAATGGGGATGTATGCTGTATACCCAACAGTAATTTGGACAAAGTTGCCATGCAGCCTCTGGTGCATAGACCTGAGAAAGAACGGTGTCCACCACCAGGGACGAGGGAACGGGTACGATTTAGTGAAAAAGTGCAGTACCATGGCTACTGCCCCGACTGTGATGTTCGATATAACATTAAAAACAGGGAGGTGCACTTGCACAGCGAGCCTGCCCGCCTTGTGGGGAAGCCTCCACACCAGTGCCCTCTGCCACCTCCTCCTCCTCTGCTGCCTCCATTCCCCCTCGAAAATGGAGGCTTGGGGATAAGTTCCAGTAATAGCTTTCCTCCTCCGAGACCTGCAACTGTGCCTCCACAAACTGCACCAAAACCCCAGAAGACCATCCTGAGGAAATCAACCACCACAACAGTGTGATATATGCCACTTGAAGAAACTATTTTTTTTCCCTATATGTAAAGATAAATAGGTAACGAGCACTTTCTACTCAAGCAATAAGAAGTCCCAATATATTACTCCCTGCGTCCAGTGAAGTGGCATAAAAATCATATGGTAAGTACAAAGAAAAATGCCTGTTGATGTGACAAATACTCAGCAAAAAATCACATCTTATTGAAAAAGGAGAAATATTCATGCTTTATCTCATAGGTTGTAGACTTCTGTTACAGTTTCATATCTGCACTGGGGTCCAAAAAACAGTGAAAAGAAGGTTCAGCTTGACCCAGTTGTTTTGCAATTCATGGTTAATTTCAGTCTACCTGATATAACAGAAAAACTAGTGCTATTGGATTTTGGGAAACACAATTGTTTCTAGCAAATATGCTTCAAAATGTAATTTGATGAAGCAGAGTAGAGTATTGAAGAAAAACTTCTGACTCTTCTGCAGCAAATGCATTTTTCTCTGCCTGACTGCTCGGGCAAAGGTGTTGTGTGTGGAGCTGTGCGAGAGAAGGTAATCATCAGACTTTCAGGCAGCTTAATCTCTGGTGTGGAAGTAAAGAAATAATTGGAAGATAATGTTGATGTGACTTCAGAAAACTAAATTACTTTGTGTTTTGTTTCTCAAGAGCTGAACATGCCAAAGACAGGGCAAGTGTACACTTTTCAGGAGTGCAACCTAACCCCATTCATTTATTCTCTATTTCCAGTGCTCCATATGCAAAGTGGTGGTGACATTAAAGTTAAAAAGCTTAGTCCTAAAACTTTGACAAAGCTTTTGTCGAGTGCAAATCTCTTTTGGAAGGCTAAGAAAATTTTGCCCAAGGCCTTCAGGGACAACCTTAATTCATGTAAGGAGCTTTGAAGTTAAAAAGCTCTGTGCAATTGTGAAGAATTAACATGCAAAACAAGATATTTGACATGTTATCACGTTTTGATTGTGAACCCAATTAATATTCTTACTAGTTTAAGAAAGAAGGTTTGTAGCTTTTTGAATTATTTCATGAAAGAATACTCTTCTGTTCTCAGTAGAGAATTGTTGGGATTTAGAGATTAAAATCCATGTGATCAATGAAGGAAATTGGATAATAAATCTGTTATTTACAAATGTCAAGCCAAATTAAGCTCTCAGATGGCCCAACAGCAGATACCCCCCATATAAAACCAATACTTTTTTTTAGCTGCAATATAAAACAGACACCATGGCTTGATCAGAGCTGGCTTCCCTAGAGTCTTACTAGTCAAAACAGATTTTTTTAAGTTAAAAATCCCATTTGCATGCAGTAGTAAGAATTAAACTTAAAACTAATCTGCAAGTAGTTTATACACAGTATAGTATATTTTTAGCATTTAATTTAAACTAAACAAAAAAAAATCATAACAAAAGTCCTGACAGATAATTGTCCTTTGAAAACTATTACAGTTAACAAAAGTTCTCTTTCACACAAATATTCATTTAGAGTTTAAAGCTTCATATTGTATTATTCACAAAGCAAGATAGACACTTACATGGTCTGATATGATTAGTCATGCCTTATCCAAATACTTCCCACTTTCTTATCATGATGCACTTCACATTTTGTATTATTTCACAGTGTTAAATCCCATGAGCTCTATTGTCAATGAAGTCTTAGTGTTTGCAGGGGAAAGCAGTAAATAATTGTGTATGTGTGAGTATTATCTTTACTGCCGTAATGAAGTTTTTGCCGCATGGATTTTGCTCACCTCCAGGGAGGTTACAGTACCTTCCTCATTCATAGAATAGAAGTTGCATTTTTAATCAGTGAAATAGTGTATTGACATATCCGCATAAAAACTACAAAGCTGCACTTATTTCCTTTAAGATGGCAAGTTTTTAGTGCTGTGCTGACACTGACATTACCATAAAGAATACACACCAACTCTTTAGAAGCTATTTGTTTTTTTTCTTCTCAAAGAAGGAAAATTATTGCACTGCAAACAATAATTTATAAGCAAGTGTAAATCCAACATTGCATGTTTCACATAAAATATTTTTGTGTCATCTTAAATTTGAGAAAATAATAATACCCATAGGGAGGGAAGGTTCTGCTTCACATGTCTACCTTAATTTTCCCCTGCTCACTGTATCAGGGTGTATCTTCTAGCAAAGATGTTTTGGCAGTTGCTCTCTGTACCTGGTTTAGAGGATATGCTCAGACATAGCCCCAGTCCTCCTGTCTACTCTTCAGCTCTGACTACAGTGAATTCTTCTATCTCCAGAGTTGCAGGTGCCCTCTAGCCCATCATCCAGGAGAGAGATCTATGTACAGGATGATCGATTCATTATCTCTCTAGTACTGCTAATGGATATCATAGCATATATCTTCTGCTTATCTCTTATCATGGTACTCTTTAATTTAGTATACTTCTTGTGTTGTATTTTTGAGTGGTAGCTCTAGGAATTTGGTAATAGTCAGTCATAAGTCCAATTTATTTTATGTCTTCTGCCTGAGGAAATCTTATTGTTCCCATGAATATTTTTTTTCAGTTGAATATTTGTCTTTGTTCTAACATGGTCCGCACCAAGATAATCTCTCTCAGGGTTGTTGTCATAACCATGATGCTTTACCTATGTCCTCTGAAACTATTGTGTGTCTGTGGATTAGTACCCACTTGTGGCCCTTGTGTGCAATGAAATAAGACCTTTGCCATTCATTTCAATCTCACCTACTACTGCTACTTCTAAAGTTATTAGTCAGCCAGAATGCAAAATAAAACAAAATCTTAATTTCTACAAGGATCTGTCACATTGTCAATTTCCTAGAGAAAAGGCACACATGTGAACTGTCCTTTGAGAAACTTTAAGATAGAGGACTGAAGACAATAATCTACGTTTGGTTATCGATTTCTGATAAAAGTAAGTAAATTCAAGTAATAATGAAATGTCAGTGAAGTGTCATTTAGTTGTGCCTTAGGAAGGCTATCGAGATTGGAGTGATTTGCTTTAAACATTTATGATGAATCAGAAAATTTGGTTCAACAGGAAAAAAAAAATTAGTGCTCTAAAACACTTCAGTATAAATGTTATTAAATCCTCTATCAGTCAACATCTAATGCAAAGTCTAATTTATAACATTAATTTTTTCTCCTGAAAACTGAAATGTTTTCAGATTAATTTTAGAATCAGTCTATCCTGTGTGCTCCTTAGCTTGGTGAAAGAAAGCAAATCTGGGGTACTAATCCAATTAGACTTTTTGTATTCAGTCTTTATTTAAGTATAGTTGCAGCTGTGGTAAAGGATACTCTGTTTTCACTATCTTGACTTTTTTTTTTTTTTCAGTAGAAACCGACGTCTCATAGCAATGCACAGCATTTCTCCCTCAGCCTCTGTCCGTAGGCTTGTCGAATACTTGTGAACATGTTAGTATTTCCAAATTAAGTGCTGTGTTCTGTAGATATACTTTGATATACCTGGTTAGATATCAGTTTCACTGAGGTGCTGAGTTAACAGTTCTCAGTTCTGTGGATTAAATTTTAATTGCATCTTTTCAAATGTAGACAAAATATATGACCTTTCAGAGGTGATGCTGCTTTGAGCAACAAAGAAAACCTGAAAATGGGAAAGGTGTATTTTTTTTCTGCAATTTTTGCTAATCCAGGCTTTCCTTAATGGATCAAAATGCTCCACATCTACCATTAGATTGTAGCAGGCTACAAATGTTAGACCAATTCTTCTGTCCTAATGAAACCTTCCATTGCCTGTGTCCTACTGTGTGTTATTTTTACCTGTTTAACAATTTTTCAATAGCAACATAACAGAACAAAGTTCAGATTAAAACAAACAAACGTGCAAAGTATGGGGAACAACTAAGTAATAGCTTTAAAGCACTGTCTGCAAGCCTGTGGTTAAAATGGCATAAAAGGGAATGGAAGGGAGATATTTTAACACTTAAATTAAAAATTTAATCTCTGTGAAATACTTTTAAATACCTGTAGCATGATGTTTCACCATTTTAGGAAAACACACTAAATTAGACAGAAACAGGAAGTAGTTGTCTGCCTTACTTAAATAAGACATACTAAAATATGTCTTTGCGATTACATTTAATTTACTACAGAAATGTTAATGCTTTGAATTTCTCTACTGAAGTTTATAAGGATTTTGTGTACAGGACAACTGAAAAGCCAGTAATAATATTCACAGTTCTAATGCAACAATGTTGAACATCATTTCATATTGCCGCTCAGCTTTGATTCCCCAGTGGAGTTTTAAAATCCGAATTGCCAAGATCTAGATTTCTGAAAGGCGAATGGAATCAGGAGGAAAAAGGGTTTCTGGTGTTTTCTGTCAGTTTAATGAAGGGGACAAGCTCTTCTTCCTTCTCCCTTGTTTTATCTGAAGTTCTTTCTACTGTCATCACAGTCTTCTTGTTGATGTTCTGTTGTTCAGAAGCAAGAAAAGATTGCAAATTGCATCCTTTTTTATCATTAGATCATTGCTCATTTTTAGAATGTTACATGAAGTAATTGAATCAGACTACAAGTACGTCTTAACTTCCTTCAGATAACTTGATTACTGATTTCGAAGTACAGTGTATATTCCTTAATTACCAGAGGGAGTTGTAGACATCCCTTGGGACTGCGGAGATCTCCTCATTTCCATGTGCTAATTATGACTCTCTCTTCAGTGAACACCACAACCACTAATTTTACATGTGGAGATAAAATCATGCTATGCTTGCTACCTGATTCTGTTGATTGATTCTTGAAGTAGACAAGAGTACAGGGTACAAATTTTATAGTGAAAACATCTCATCCCAAAGCTTGTATATGCTATTCCCCCCTGCTTTTCAAGGATTTTATGTGTGTGTGAATGCAAAATACTTTTTCACTATGTAAGGCCAGGTAAAACATTAAATAAGTTTGCCATAATGAAAAAAAAAACAGGCTTAAAATAAAGTGAGACGCAGTGAGTGAGTTGTCTGCAAAGCCATGTCACAGAGAAACAGAGCTATGTCTAGCACAACATTAGGAATAATTAATCTGAAAAATATCTGCTTCCCAGTTGAGTAGTCACATTGTATTTTATGGGACAGTGCCCCATACGATGTTTTCCTGCATACAGTAATTTCCTGTGGCATGCTGGCATTTTT